CTTCACTGTGTGGAACTTTAACAGTGGTTGGTAGTGGAGACTTTTAAAGAAGCAAAGCTAAAAGCTTTAATTTTCATTCAGGGCTCCAAAGAGAGTGAGCAAAGGATTTAAAGGGGGCTCTGAATAGATGGATTTCTAGGTTGGGCTATCAGGTACCATGTACTATCTCTGTACATGTACAGCAGCGCAAAGGCCTTACAAGCATTTGGACTGTATGTTGCTTATATTGCAGGACAATAGTCAACCATCTGTGAATCAGACATCTGAGGCTTCTGGCAGAAATTTAGGGATGGAAGGAGGACTCTTACCTTTTTCTGCACTGGGTGGCCTGCAAATTCCTGAACTTGGAAACCACTGAGAGACAGAGAAGGTCAATATTTTGTCTGCTCAACAAAGTTTTTATTCACCTTGCACATCCTCATTTTACCCCTTATAAATAAACCTTTGTATGGACCACTTGGAGAATGAGGAATTTCACATAGGCATTATGTCAGGTCTTCTGAATCAGGCCTCTGTTACAAGAGAAGGTAATGAGGTATGAATAATACAGCAGTATGACACGAGTTGCAGCTTTTTGTGTTGCTAGTGTCTCCTTTGGGCATACCATACAGTGAGGCTGCCCTGCAGATCATAATTGATCTCTCTCTCCCCCCCTCTTATTTTTTTTTTTAACAATAACTCCCCCTTGAAAATGCCTGCCTGAACAGGAAACTTTACTAAACAGAAGTCCAGGAGGACAGTAAGAGAAAATCAGGGGCAAGCTTTTGCATTAAGAGGCATCCTTATAGAAGTGGGGGAGGGGTGTGTGTGTGTGTGTGTGTGTGGTTTTTTCTTTTGTAAAATTCCCAGATTTAGTTTTTCAAGTGAAAAATAAAGCTAGAAGTTGCTGAGATGCATGGCAAGAGACAGAAGGGAAGGGAAAGTAAAAAGAGCACTGTGGAGATATAAGTATAATAAGAACTTGGCTGTACATTTTAAGGCCAAAGCCTGCACTTTTTACTTCAATAAAAATTCTTGAATTCAGCTTAATTAAGTTTGTGTAGGTAGTAAACAACTGTATAGATCTTTTTTACTTCTGCAGTGCTTTGCAGAACATCTCAGATTACTTTCTGATAGTTTGGTTATTCAGCTTCACAATATTGCTAAAAACATGACCTGGCCTTATGTAAAGTTCTGTTTCAGATATTGAGTTAGGATACTCCACAATTAAGTTTCTTTAGATTATTAAAACAAGGAAAGTGTATACCTTTTAGTCTTACCTTTATCTCTTCCTTCCAACAGTTTCCTAATTTACTTTAATGATTCTCTAGTATGCAAAATTTAGACTGTGCCTTAGTTTTTTTATTCAGCAGGCTTCCTGCTTTTTTCTTAAATTCAAATGGATCCTGATCCACTAACACCAGTGCGGTTCAAGCATTCTTGTAATAATTTTTGAATTCTCATAATTTTAACATTAACACCTAATGTTGTTTTCTGATGTTCTGGGTCATGTTCCCACTATTCTTGTCAACAGTTCAGGTAGGACTGGTATTTCCATCCAAGTCCATCTGCGGCCTCTGTTGTTTTCAACCATGCTGTACACCTGGATCCAAGGAAACCTCTGCACTTGGGTAATCAGTGCGTGTGAGCTGGGTTTGTGTGTGAGCCATACAGACATGCCTCTAAGTCCTGGAGTTCTTTCAAAGTAATGGTTTTAATGAGGAAAGGTCTCTTTGGCTCTTTCTGCCAGAAACTTCTCTCTTCAGCAGCTTTTTGTATGTGGGGATCTTAACTCACTTTATTCTACATTATTTGCATGTTATAGGCCTGAATTTTCTTCTTCTGTAAGCCTTTTTTGTCAATATGAACACACTATTAAGTTAGCAGATCTCCCCAGTTGGAAGTACTCATCTCATGAGGCTCTGATTTATGTCTGGCGCAGAAAGGCTCAGAATTTGGCCTGGCAGAAAGGAATTAATAGAGCCACCCTTCCTTTTATCTTCTCCCATTCTGCAGAGGGCGCTATTCTGTCTGAGGAATCAATGCTGTTCATTGCCATGGATGCTGTTCAAAGGCCCTAAGCAGTGTATTTTTGATGACATGTCTACTTAATTTAGGCCTTGGATTTACTGATACAGCACCTTTTCTTTATATCTCTTGCTTCAGGCTTCCCTTTCTGCACACAACATAATTAGGTCTTAAATTCCCTGATACATTTGTTTCATAGAAGAATAACTTGTACTGACATTGTGTCACTCTGATATTGATTTGCATCATCAATGCCACAAATGATGTCATTGTTCTGACATCTCAGTGTCATTTTTAAGACTTTCCAGATCTATTTAGAGAACTGTTTTTCCTTCAAAGCAAATTAAAACTCTTAGGAATGTTTCTCACCATTTCTCATTTCCCTTTCTTATATGGTCTACATTATTTTTCGGGGGGGAGAATAAAGATCTGGTAAGAATATACACAACAGAAACCCACATAAAAATGTTCTGGAAAGCTCATGTCAGATGTGATTTTCCCTCCTTTCTTCAATTTTATCACAAGCCTTGATTCATCAGTACATTAGCCAGAGTGTTCCAAATTAGAGGTTTCAGATTTACACTATTATAAAATTCAAGATGTTCAGCTGACTGAAGTATGCTAAAGTACTAAGGTAAAGTACTGTTACCACAAGGAGTCAAGAGTCAGAAGACTCAGAGATGCTTTGCCTTATTAGTTTCTTTCATTGCATTGTCTTCGTCCCCTGCTACTCCCCTATGCCATTAACATAAAAATTTAACCATGAGTAATTTCTATAGACCAAAGCAATGGCTAGTTGTGAATGTAGGAACACGTTTCATAATCACATCTGCCCTGTTTTCCAGCAAAGCCATTTTACTCTTTTACTACTATGAGTGTGGAATAATGAAGAATGCAGAATCGTAGCATTTTCAACTTCTGTTATAGATATAAACACTAAAGAAAAGGTGGCATGTCCTCAGACATGATTATTCACTAAAAAGAAAAAAGTTATCTCTGGGTAAAAGCCATTAATCCAGACTAGTGTTCTTCAGCTGATGAGTCACGGCTCCTTAGAGAGGATACGATAGCTACCAGAGGCACTGTGAAGCCCTGAAAGTTTTATTGCAAGTCTAAAGCAAAGAATATTTCATTCTCCTTTTCTACTCACACTATTAGCTTTCACAGGCAAGTGTTTTCTGTCAACTTGATTTAGTGATATAAAATTTCAAACTTTGTCTGTGATATAAGTTCACCTTTATTTTTATAAAAAAGAGTGAAGTTACTGACAACCAGAATATGGGATGTGAAGGTTTAGTCTCTCTATATGCTAGAGGGACTTTAGTAACTGTGTATGTTTCATCCCAAGACCTAAGAGACAAATAGGGTCATGATTGTTCCTAAGTCATTACCTGGAGAAAATTAAACAATGTCAATATCTACAGGACCAGCCAGTAGGTGCTCTGTGTGGTGGCTCCTAAGTGTCCTTCCTACTGTCCTGAAGCATCCTGTTTTGGTCTTATTTCTCCAAGTATCATAGCTCCAACAAGAAGTAGTGAGAATCACCTTCTCCAAGTTATCTTGTGTACTAATAGAGTCAACTAAGATTCAGGGTGGATGCTCAGACCCACTGTTTGCCTAGTTTATACTATGGGCTTAAATAAAGTTTTCTACCCAAAATACTTCGTGGTGAGATGCCAGCATACTAACTCCAACACTTAACAGTTCTGTGAGCCTGTTTTTTCCTTAAAAACTTTTTATATGAGCTGAATTTTCAAATCATTTGAAAGTGATTGAAAATATCTTCTTCTCAATAATTTCAATATTTATAGACAGGAATTAATAACACCAAAATGAAAGAAAAATAACTGCACTATAGCTGCTAAGTGTAAAAGGGACAAACATTAAACCACTTGCTTCTAAAACTGTTTTGTAAGATGTAACATTTTGAATGTTAAGTTTGGCAGATAATCTGAAATCTAACCCAAACTGTTGCAACAATCTTGTCCATTGACTGAAATGGTTTGTCATGCTCAAAGAACTCCATTTGTTTCAAAGCACTGAATGCATAACAGTGTGTCCAGAAAGAAAGACAAGTTACTCTTTCTTCTTTTGAATGAGAGAGCAGGAGGCAGGACTTAGGATGGTCATAAACATGTTGTTACTTTCCCCTCATTCAGAAATCAAAGACTTCTGAAACAGATGGGAAAGAATAAATCGTATTGCAACTAATAAACAGCTTATTTAAATGCAGCTGGTTCTTCTAGATTTAAACGGCTCAAAACCTCCTTAAATGCCCTTATGTAAGATAATGTCACATTGTGTTAGCTGGAGGCTCTGGGAAATGAATACCAAAATCCTGACTGTGGGAGTTAACAACTGTGGAAGTGATTTTCCTACTTCTCGTGTGTAGTTTTGTGGCTATATTCATGTGTGAGATGAAATGAGGATGAACTAGAGCAGCCAAGGGTAATCCTGAAAAAGGGAAAATCTGGTTATATGTTTGCTAGTAGTTCTTTGTAAATTTTTATCATTTAGTATGATGTCACATTTCATGAAACAGAGCAATGCAGTAGGTTATCCAAACTACTGAAGAAGGCTAGCTGAGTGACAGTTGGTTAGGCTAACTATAAATTTTGCAAGTCTGACTATCTCATCCAAAACATGGAGGATGACAGAAAGGTTTGGAGGGGGCAGCCTGCCTGCACCAAACACTTCAGCTGAATTTTGGAAGGAAACAATAAGATAGGAGGTATAAGTTTAATTACTGAAAATGTTCAGAGTAAAGACAAACAAGAGAAAATACTTCATATAAAACATTTTACATAAAAAATGCAAAGTTTGACTGCTCATTTCTAGGTTCCCAGGTACCTAAACAGTTACTTAAAGAGGGAGAAACCATCTAGTCCCACATTTCATCACTTATCGTTTAGTAGTTTAGATGGTTAAACAATTCATTGTTATATCTCTTCTTCCATTGCCAACAATTCTTGAAAAAAAATTTGTGCTTTTTATAAATGAAATATGAAATTTTAACTTACTTTTGACTCCTGAGTTAATGTTGGATACTGGATAAAGAGATCAAGATGGAAACCATCTTATTCCAGTGTAACCTTATATTCTTCAGCTAGAAGAAGACTCTATTTATTAAAAGAATGTTACCATATTATAAAGATGTGTTATTGTTGTTATTATTACTATTATTATTACAAGCTGTTGCTCAGTAAAGTGCCAGACTGAGAGTTTTAGCAACCAAAGATGTTTTCATGCTTAAGATAGCCAAAGACAGATATTCAGATGCACAAGGCTTCTGACATGTGAACAAGGGGTCACTGGCAGTCACATTCCTGCAAAGTGCTGGGACATCGTAACTGATAGCAGCCAGAAGAATTCCAGTTTCTGAAAGCAGGGAAATAGGGACAGGCTGTCATTATAGTCTTCAAATGTTTACACTATTAGATAACTTTAATGGCTGAAGCAGCTCACTTTCTTACAGGATTTGGAGGTGCATATTTATACCTGAAACCAGTAATTACAGATTGTTCTTGGTGTAAACACAGATCTTCCTCTCATTCCCCCATAAGCTGAGTTGCTGTAGAAAGACAAGTGAAACTAAAATTTCAAGAAACATATTTGTATTTGAATTTGATTATCACCTAAATATTAGCTGCCTAGAAATGATACAGTTATGCTGCACACATGGAAGGTTTGTGGAAAAAAAGGTATTTTCAAAAGTCAATTTTTATATGTCTGCAGCAGTTTAGCAAAGTGAGTATTGTGGCAAAAGAAAGATAGGAATGTTTAAAAGGGATCGAAATACCATTAGCTACTAAAGAAAAAAGAATAAATAAATTCTGCTGATTTATTACTACTAGCAGCTGAGTTTCTCCTGTGTAATGGAGTACAAAGCAGCTGCAACTGCTGGTAACTACTGTTTATCCTAGCCAGGGAACAGCTAGCAACCTCTAATTGCAGGCATTGCTTAGCTCCCATGTGATGGGTGAAAAATGAACTAAATTGTTCCCAATAATTACACCTGCTTCTCTCTTCCTTACTTGTGAGAAGAAGAGTTGCTGCCATCAATCAGAGATAGATGCCTTCCCCTTCTTTGGGAACAGCAATAGTACAAAGGCAATGAAACTCCGAAAAGGTCAGGCTTCCAGGGAGCTTGAGAAAAACTGACTTGCAACCAACAAGCTCCTTAAGTGGGCAACTTGGATCACATGCGTTTCAGAGCCTGCTCGCAATTGCCCTTTGGAGAGCATTTTCACCTTCAAAGGGACTACTCTGGGAGATTTGTTTTCCTGGGTTGAAGAAAGTTTTTTTTAAATATCACCAACTCATACAGTGGGTTAACTGTTGTGACTGCCTGATTAATGTTTGTTTATTTTTGTTTGTTTGTTTATTATTTTTTTTAAATGTCTTGATGAAAGAACAGGTTTATTCTGAAGACAGGAGTTTGATTCTTTCCCGGGCAGAAGCAGCTTGGAAGTCACAACACAGGTACAAACAGCTCAGCTGACTGAAAACAAGGAAGTCTCGGAGCTCTGTTTCTTCAGCTGCCTTGTGCTTTTGGTGATGAGTTGATGCAGACATTGAACTACTATGAGGATCTCTTTCACACTAATGATGGAGTTAGCAGCCTTGGCTGGTGGTTCATTAGTCAAATACTCCATACTCTGTTACTAATCCTCTGTGTGTGCTGTGTTGCACCTTACATGTAAAGAGCTGTAGTAGTATTTTGTGTTTGTTTCATAAACGAGTGGCCATTGCAGTGTGCTGAATCAATAGCGATACTGTGATCTGTGTTGGAAAGCATGTAAACCCAGAGATTCAATAGGAGTTGGGCTCCCAAAGGTATAGAGAATGGGCAGTAAGATCTTCAAAATTCTCTTTGCAGGTTAGATGCATCCTTTAAAAGTACAAGAGAAACAGCTAGGTATGTTAGGAAATAGTTTGGGGGGGGGGGTGGGGTGTTGCTTTGCTGGGCACCAACTCTTCAGGAAATCTCACTGTAACGGCCAGAAGTAGTATCACAGTCAAAATATTAAGAACAAAGCTTTCTCTTTTTTTTTTTTTTTTTGCTTGCTGTTGGTGGGGCAAGGAGAATTTTGGAAGAGAAGAGAAACATTTATTTAGGGCATCTGGAAGCTAAAAAAGTTTTTTTCTACATGAGCAAACAGTGCTTAAATCTGCAAATTCTTCATGGCAGAATTTATATTCTAAAAAGCTAAATATATAATTTAAATAGCAAGATCTCATTTTGAACTTTTAAACAAACACAGCTGGGAAAATCCACCTTTTTATTGAGGTATAAATGCTGTCTGTGTTCCTAAAAAGAATGTTTACTAACAGTAGCAAATTCTGATATCAAAATTTTGTAAGTCAACCCCATATTTTTCAAATACAGAATTTACTTATTGAAGAAAAAAATATTGTTTCTTTTATATCTCTTTGAAGGATTAAGCATTTGGGTTTCTTTTTTTTTTTTTTTATGTCTTAAGAAGTTTTTCAGAAAAAAAAATTAAGTTGAAGCTGATGAAGACCTGAATCAATATAATGTGAATTTTTACATAGCTTCTAAAACTGAGGGCTCAGAGAATTGGGGTAGAAGAAATGAGGATGGCTCTGTGAGAGAGAGATTGAGGTGGTTAACAGCATTTGTGTAAGAAGTTACTGATGACTTCATGTTAAAGTTTTTCAGTTGCTTTAAACCTTACACCTGCTTTCAATGCTGTTGCTTGTGAAGGACTGTGACTTTGTGGTGTCTGATAAGAGTAAGATGAAAGTCTCTTTTTCAGTGCATTTTTTCTTCCTCTTAGACAAATTTCATCAGGTGAGCATGGGTAATTTTTTTTCCCACAAAAACTAATTTGTCCTCTGCATACTGCTGGACACTTGTTTGGTTTTCACTTTCGTTCAACCAGAAAAGGGGCCATTTGAGAGTTAGTGTGGGATATAAGACTCTGGGGTTGAAAAAACTTGGGCGTGTCTGAGCTAGACACTTTTACTCTCCTCGTGATCAAGAGAGAGAAGCAGGTACTCAAATGAGAATAAGTTTGAACTAGGTCAAACAACTTGTCTTCTGGATCTGCTTATTACTCTTTTTTGATTTTCTGTGAAAGAATAGGAGACCAGATTGGACTTCAGGTGGCTAAAATTTAAAATAAGTGAATCCAACCCTTAGGAAGGATGGGATCTGGTTATTTTTAGCTTGATTGAAAAGCATATGTATGAATCTATATTTTCCACCTACGATGGATGACACAAGACCTCAGTTTGCAGAGAAGACCATGGCAAAGATATTAATTAGTTGGCTGAGGCTCAAATCAGATTAACGGAGATTGGGATGACAGGTTGGAAAAGTAGCCAGAGGAGACAGAGGAAGTAATCTTAGCTCCTCTGTAGGAAGAAATATATCTACCATTAGTTAACAGTACCCACAGCTAAAATGTGATTATAAGCTCTCAGCTGCTATTTAACAATTATGTCATAGCAGAAACCCAGATAGCCTTGAATTATTGGTGTTTGGCTAAGGAGCTGTGATCTTCTTTGTGGATACAATGGCAGTGGCATCCAGGTCCCATTCACTTAAACATTAAATTATTTCTAAACACTTGACATTTATCAAGAGAAGCTAATGCGGATTCTGGCAGTTTTCTTATGGGGAGAACAACTTGCTGGAATATGTTTCCTTCTGTACAGGCTTCCTGTGAATCTCAGAATGAATACAAATAATAGTTGAGGAATAGCTCAGGTCTTGTTCTTTGTCATTGTTGCTGTAGTTGGTATATCTTTGCACCATTGACTGAGACTATCAAACAGGAATCTGGTGCCTCTGGTCTGACATTGCCAAAATTTGGTGACTTCACCGTAGTGAAAAAAAAATCTTTTTGGTACTCTTGAGACTCAAAAGGTGGTAAAGGAGACAGGGAATTTTTAGGCACAAGTCAACTTCCTGGGTAATTGAGTTTGGCACTATCTAGATTTAATTATTTTTCATTCATAATTAGTCATGTTAAGGTGATAAAGTCTATAAATTAGTGTATCTGTTGATCTAAATACATGTAAATTTCCTGTTAAATGAAACTTTAAATACTAATTCAACCAACATAATGGTTGTTCTAACTGTAAATGAAGTACTTAGGTGTGGTCCCAACTGTGAATAGGAGCCATTCTCAGATGAAAAGTGAAAAATTCCATCTACCCTCAACTGCTGCTATCAGATTCCTGGCAAAAAATTCTCCATATATGCAGAAGATACAAGCTTCTCCAGCACAGTTTTACATAGCATTCAATAGTATGTTATGTAAATCCACAAAAGTTAAGAGATGGCGATCAGCATTTCCTTACGAATAGTAGCTGCATTACAGGTAGGGTGAAACTGGGAAGCTTGACATAGAAATCCTCAGGGCTGAGAGGCAGGAATTCTGCCAGCAAAACACTAATGCATAATAGTAACTGTTGGCATTGAACGGTTGCTTTGAAAAAAGGGTAGCAGCTGTGAAGAGAGTGGAAAACACAGCCTTACTACTTTGGCATTCTCTTTTGCTCCCAGGAAAGGAAAGCAGTTCAGATACGGCAGCTTACCAGTTCCCTCCTCCCTTCTGCTCTCCTATCCTTTTTTGTAATACTTTTGAGGCTAAAAAGTGAAAGGAAGGTGAAGATGGAAAGAGATTCTGCATAGTGATGTTTGGGACATTGTGCTTTACCTCATCACTGGAAATACAATGGAACTCAGGAACAGTGTGGGGTTTCATTAGCTCTGGGAATGCCAGTACTGGACTGTGGGAGGCTTTGTTGTTAGGTTGTTTTCAAAAGATATTTCTTTAGGTCCACAGATACTAAGCACCCTCAAATTTAAGCAGCTGTCAGAGTGGAAAGTTTGGCAACATAATTTCAATTGTATATGAAGAATTGCCTCTGGTTAACAGCAGTAAAATGTTAATTTAGTCTTTGATAGAACATATTAGCATGATAACTCACAAAACAGTTTTGGTATGCTAATTCTGAAATAAAAAATGTATTCTGATTAATGCCTGAATCAAAATGAAAACTGCCGGATGCCTGAAATGACAGAGCTGATCAAAGCTGCCAAAATTGTGTGGGAAATATATTAACAGCAGTGGAGGCTATTTTTTTAATTCCTATCAGAAGCAGTGTGAAATTTAATTATAAGTGGAACCCATTTAAACACATAAGTCTGCAGGATTAAACCTGGGTATTGTGTCCTTGCTTTAGTTCACATATCACTCAGTTTTGCTGGCATAGATTTTGTAGGTAATATTTCTAATGAGTTGTCACAAGTGTTAAGCTCCTCTGAACTAGAGTTAAGGATTTTCTTAAGAACTAGACATAACTCCAGGAAATATTTCGTTATAGTGTGGTTTGATAAATTAAGTTACCGGACCAAAACATTAGTGCCCCTTTTCAGTACGAAAGGTACAAAAATGTGTTGACTGGAGCTTGCAGAATACCCCAATGCAGCAATGTGACAGACATCCCATTCTGGCATGTGCTCTGTTTTGTTTACAGTGCTTTTTTCTTCTTCTTACTCTATATTAAGTACCAAAAGCATGCCTGATGGTTTACAGAATGAACATGGAAAACCAATCTCTGCCTTGAAAAACCTGTTGTCTGACAGCAGCAATTAGAATAAGAGCACAGCAGAAAGACTGGCGTGTAAATTAAACCACTATACAAAGATAAAATACTTTACATTCTTAATATTAGAGACAAATGTGAGGAGGTTTTTTCAGATATTTCTAAGACTGTAGACTGCTCAAGATTAAGCCTAGGGTGTACAGTATAGTATACTGGCATGTAGACAGGTATGCACAGACATGGAAATCCTAAGGCCTGGTGCAGAGAAAAAGCTGCTTTAAGGCAGCACTTGAGAAAACGCTTGTTTCAGCAATGTCTGTAGGTCTTGGCTAAGTGATTATGATTTTGCATGTGTTCTCCTGAATGGACTCTTGAGGTATTGCTTTAGGTAGCATAATGATGATTGTACTATCCAAAAACCCTAACACTCCCATTCAGGCTTTCAAAAAGCTATGTCAAGCTGCATCCTTACCATGTTACGATCATTTCTTGTAATTTGCTTGGGAGTGTGCTTGATAAATCTTATTAACAATGTGCTAGCACATTTGCATACAATTAATTCTATGCTGTAAAATTACAGTATAGAATACAAAAGTATAACAGTATAATGTACAGTAATATAATTACATAGCAGCTTATTCAATTCCCAAGTCAATGTAATGTCTGGCATTGATTTAAGTGGTGAATTGGGAAGCAAATGAGAATATTTTTGTATTCTCATGGTGCTGTGCTCTCAGGAGGGAGGATGGTTTCAATTAATCTACCAGCTCAGACCAGCAATTAAAACACACACATCTCTCTTCCCTTGCTCTAAAGAAGAGGATCTCTCTGGCAGAATGGGCATTTAGGAAGTCCATAAAAATGAAGCTGATCAATGCTGTGCAGCTTGGAAAAACCTCCTGTGCTGGGAGTAGGCACTCCATAGGAAGATATATTCAGATGTCCTTAGATGGAAATTGGGGCTGAGTGTGCCTACACAATGGTCCTGTGAGTGACTGATTACTGATATTAAGTAGCATAGTTGCTTCAGCAGGAAACCTCCATCTTCTTTAAATTTGTAGTTATGCGCAAAACTGAAGTGTTTCAGAAAGGCGTGAGGGTTTATTTTGTTTTGTTTTCAGGTTTTTTTCTCCCTTGAAGGAGTTTGACAATTTCAATCAGCTAAAAAAATCTCACTTATGTATAGTGTAACCTTTCTCAGAGATGAAATAGGAGGAGAACATAATAATAAATGGAGAGATTAAGTAGAAAGCGAGAAACTATTCCTTTTGAAGAACAAAATTACCAATGTAGACAAATAATTGTATCTTTAAGTACCTTTAGTCATATATTAAAAAAAAGCCACTTCATTTTTCTTTTAAAGATAGGACTTTCTTTTTTATTATTATTTAAAAGTATCCCAAAATGCTAAACTAATATTTTAATTCTTCCTGGCATGATTTTAGTGCTCAAAAACCTCTTCAAACAGTTACTAGCACTCTTTGTTTGTTTTGTTGGGTTTTTTTTTCCTCTTTTCTTCTTCCATTCTTTTTTTTTTTCCTGTTATTTGCAGTAATGACATTGACAACTGTTATTCAAAAAAACCTCCTTGCCAGTTGTCTCAGTGTCCTGGGTTCAGCAGGAGCAGTCATTTTTTCCCTTTCTTAGCAGCTGGTGCAGCACTATGTTTTGGCTTTCGGCCTGGGAACAGAGCTGATAACACTGATGTTTTAGTCTGACCAAGGACTTCGTGAGCCTCATGCTCTGCCAGGGAGGTGGGGAAGCTGGGAGGAAGCAGAGACAGGACACCTGACCCAAACTGACCAAAGAGGTGTTCCATACCACAGCACGTCATGCACAGGATGTAACTGAGAGTTACCTGAAAGGGTTAGCAGACTGCGGGGTTGGACGAGGTATCGGCCGGTGCTTGGTCAGGCTGGGGGGGGGGGGGAGGAGTTATCTGTTGGCTGGTGGTGAGGTGTTGTATTCTCTTCCCTTGTTATTTCCTTTATCATTATTATTATTGGTGGTAGCAGTAGTGATTTGTGTTATACCTTAGTTACTAAACTGTTCTTATCTCAACCCAGGGGAGTTGCATTCTTTTCGGTTCTCCTCTTTGTCCCTCTGGGAGTAAGTGGAGGGCAAGAAGGGGGAGAGTGAGTGAATGAGCTGCCTGCCTGGTTTTAAACCACGACACTCAGATCTAATATGAGAAAATTATCTTTAGATGTAGGATGTATTAAAATGCATTGCAATCTGATGAGAATATCTGTTGCTCACAAGGATAGTTTCTACGTGGGGAGACCCCTACAGGTGAACCGGTGGATCCACATAGCAGAGTGGCAGGACGGTACAGGATTTTGGACTTGTATGGGAAAAATCCAAACAAAACAACAAACCACCACCCTTACTGATAATTTTCTGGAGGTGGCCTGTCTACCTTTTTCATGATAGTCATGTAATCCTACTGCTCTCTTCAAATCCCCCAGAATGATAAAATTGAAGCAGTCTTCAGTTTTTAAAGTTGCCTAGTTACGATCTTAAAAAGAAATCAGTAAATGGATTGCCTCCAAAGATGCCTTCTGTCATTATTTATCTGCTTGCTTTGCAATTGTTATATCTCCCTAAGACTACAAAACCAGTGATGCAAAAAAGGCTTAACTAGGCTTCTATGGAGCTGCGTCAATGTGAGATGGAAGATAGGCTGAGAAAGTTGGGGCTGCTCAGCCTGGAGAAGAACAGGCTGCATGGAGACCTCATAGCAGCCTTCCAGTATCTGAAGAGGGCCTTATAGGGATGCTGGGGATGGGGAGGGACTGTTCATTAGGGACTGTAGTGATAGGACAAGGGGTAACGGGTTAAAACTTAAACAGGGGAAGTTTGGATTGGATATAAGGAGGAAATTCTTTCCTGTTAGGGTGGTGAGGCACTGGAATGGGTTGCCCAGGGAGGCTGTGAATGCTCCATCCCTGGTAGTGTTTAAGACCAGGTTGGACGAAGCCTTGGGTGACATGGTTTAGTGTGAGGTGTCCCTGCCCATGTCAGGGGGGTTGGAACTAGATGATCTTAAGGTCCTTTCCAACCCTAACTATTCTATGATTAAATAGTGACATGAGCCTGCCCCCAGACTAGGAATAATTATATCAGCTCTTTGCAGCATCAGACAGGGCACAAATGCTGAAGTGGCTAAACTTTATTGATGTTTTCCTGGACATTTGTAAGTAATGGCTTGTTTTCATTGCTGATCTGTCCTTAATGGACCATGGCAGTGCAAAAATATTTTTTTTTTTTCCTCTGTGCCCGCTCCATAAAAACCTCACTGGAAAGAGGAACTGTTTAACAAGATCCCTTGTGGGATGAGTTGCCTTCATAGTATTTGAGTGTGCAAAATTTATTTAAGACATGTTGCAGACCCTCTCTTTTCTGCCTAAAAGCAGTTGGCAGATTAAAGGAGCAATGTTTCCAGCTGCAGATGTATTTAATTGCAAGCAGACACTGTTATTCCATTATCTGTTTTGTTAAGAAGTGAAAAGGGGGGAAGACAAGGAAAAGTATTGTGGATTCTAGTGCGTGTAAGTAAACAAGGGACAATGGCAGACTAAGGTGAAATATAATGGGTTTAAGTTCATTCTTTGTGGGGGACCCAGCTTTGATGCAATATCACCGGGGCAAAATCTACTAAAGTGAGCAAGTAACCAAAGTTTCTTGCAACACCTACCTTTAGATTCATGTGGCTCAGTCCACTGACTTACAGCTTGAGTTATATCCTGATCTCCCAGTATTAGGGTTACAGCATTTCACTTCATGGTGCCAGTCCCTATGTCCAACACTTCTGTATGAAAAAAAAAAAAAAATCACGCTTCTGACAGCAAGGAAGAGTTAAGTGGTTAATACTGGGGGCAAGATATTGGACTCTTTCTCTGAAGTAGTAGCTTATTTGAGATTAATTATAGATTAAATAAATTTGCCCCGCAGTTCTGACTGTTGACATGGGACTTTTATAACGTGATTGTGTGAAGTATGTAGATGAATTAATGGAATGATCTTATCAGCCTTCTCAATACATTATTTCAGTCCAGCATCACCATTTTTTATTTTTGTTTTTAATTTTCCCAGAAAATGGAGGACCCATGGTACAGAGAAGTACTGCCTTTTGGGAGTGTTAAGGGATAGGACAAGGGAAATGTGTTTTGGTGAATCAGCGTAGAAATGTTCTTAATATTTTTCCTTTGAATGTAACTTTCCTATGTTGTTGGCAGCGAAGAGAGGGATTGTAGCCCTTCTTGTTTTATTTAAAAAAACTGAGGTATTTAAACAAATATGTCTGATTACTTTATTCAGCGTGGTTTATTTTTGCATAGCTTCTCTGATAAGCTATTCTTACCTCAGAGACCACTAGAAAGCACAGGAATCATTCAGTGACCTATCTCTAGGTATTCAAATGTGCTGTTCTATTTCTCAAAACTTCTTTTTCTGAACTGGAATTGGACAAGGGTGATCTTTTCACAAGCCATAAAGAAACAGTTCATGCTATTGAGTTTGAAGATCCCAGATGATGCTTATTACAGATTTGACACTAGTAATTTTCTGGTGAAGTGAGCATATTTTAATAACTTACCTTGACATTTTAGGACGCAGGATGCAGAAGGATAGAGTCACCAAAAAGCCCTGTTTCTTTTGCCCAGAACTAGCACTTCATTTTCATTTGTGTGAAATGTGGGGAGGGTTTTGTTAATGATTGTCTGTTTTTCTTTTTTTTTTTTTTTAGAGACAGTTAAAGCACAGAGTGGAGGTAAGCGTAGAATTTGCTCTCATGCAAACTCCCTAGGAGGGAAAAATATGTCAAGATATGTGAAGAACAATTTTAATTTGAAATTAACCCTTAGTCAGGTGAAGGGCAACTTTTTTTTTTACTTTTCTAGTAAAACTGCTGATGCCCATCATACAAAAAGATTGAAGTAGTACTGGAAAATAAATCATAGAATCATAGAATAGTTAGGGTTGGAAAGGACCTTAAGATCATCTAGTTCCAACCTGCCTGCCATGGTCAGGGACACCTCACACTAAACCATCTCACCCAAGGTTCTGTCCAACCTGGCCTTGAACACCGCCAGGGATGAAGCATTCTCAGCCTCCCTGGGCAACCCATTCCAGTGCCTCACCACCCTAACAGGAAAGAATTTCTTCCTTGTATCCAATCTAAACTTCCCCTGTTTAAGTTTTAACCCCTTACCCTTGTCCTGTCACTGCAGTCCCTAATGAAGAGTCCCTCTCCAGCACCCCTACAGGCCCCCTTCAGATATTGGAAGGCTGCTATGAGGTCTCCATGCAGCCTGTTCTTCTCCAGGCTGAACAGCCCCAGCTTTCTCAGCCTATCTTCATACAGGAGGTGCTCCAGTCCCCTGATCCTCCTCGTGGCCCTCCTCTGGACTTGTTCCAACAGTTCCATGTCCTTTTTGTGTTGAGGACACCAGAAGTGCACACAATACTCCAAGTGAGGTCTCACAAGAGCAGAGTAAAGGGTCAGGATCACTTCCTTTGACCTGCTGGTCACACTCCTTTTGATGCAGCCCAGGATACGGTTGGCTTTCTGGGCTGCAAGCGCACACTACCTGCTCATGTTCATTTTCTCATTAACCAACAAACATCAATAAATTAGATGTACTGGATTATACTGTAGTCTTGGCCTTGTTCCAACTTTAGTTAGAATCATTTTAGGACCAGAGGTCACCCGCTATACATTTTTGAATGGGGAAATGCTTGAATTTTGTATCAAAGGCATACAAAGTAGTAACAGCCTTTGAAGAGATCATTTAGTGCATGTGCACACTGTGAGAGAGAATTACATCTACTCACGTGGCTCTTGTCAGATGTTGACAAGATTGTTTGTGAATCTCTGGTGTGAAGCCATTCTGAAGAAACTATTCTGATGTTTAAAGATTTTTATACTTGGACAGTTTCTTCTTATGTCTATCCTGATTTTTAGTTTAGATCCACATGCTATTTCCTAACAATATGCATGTAGGCAACAGTACATCCCTGTCCTATTTAAAATAACCTTTTGCATATTATCTCTTTCCCAGTCATCTTCTCTGGGCTTTTTTTTTTTTTTTTAATAACTTTCCTGCATAGATCACAGTTTCTAAGACTCTTATTCTTACAATTTACAGTTTTCCTCAATTTTTCTGGATATGATCTTTCATTAGAGGCGCTAGCAGTGTTGAGTGAAAAGGTGTAATTCCTTTCCTTTTGTTGTATACACAAAACTCTAAGTAATACTTCTTAAAATGACAGTTGTCTTATTTTCAGCAGCACACAGTTTTGTGTGTGCATTCCACTGCAAGGGTCAGATTTTTTTCTGCAGTGCAGCTTTCAAGATGTTGCCTAACATAAAGTTTTAAATAAGTTTTTTTCCTTTTTAAATGTAGTCCTTTAGTTCTGTAATTATGGAATTTTGTTGTAGGTATAGTTTCTTAAGTTTATCAAAATAATTTGAATTCTTATCCAGATTCCAAAATCTTTGCTTTGTAATTTAGTGTCATGCCCAGTATTAAGATATGTAGTTTTCTGTTCCATTGTTTATAGCAGCGTCATACGTAATAACTGGATAATAAATATAGAGTAAGTGAGACCACTGTGTTAGCTAAAATACTGTCTCTATTTTGAGACTAAATTTGATAATTTTTTTTTTAATCACGTATTTCCAGTAATTTTTCCAGTCTGCTTATAGGATTGCTACATCAAACTAGATCAAAAGCATTACTAAAGTCAAAATAGACTGCATCTACCTTTTTTCTGTGTGTTCTAGGAAATGCATACGATTAAGAGGAAACAAAATTGTTTTGATTAAAACCTGGGTTTGACTAACAAATGTTGGCTCTTCCTTATTACTTGATTATCCCTGAGGTTCTTACAAACTGATTAATAATGTCACACCTAATATTTTTCCAGGCATCAATATTACATGTTCTGTTGGACCTATACCTACTTTAACCTTTCTTCTCTCTTCCCCCTCCTTCCCCTGCTAATGGATACTGTTGTTTCCCTTTTTTCTGTCCTCTGATTCCTCACAAGTCATCCAAGAAAACTGTCTGAACTAGTTGCCTTAAATGATTCTCAACAGGGAATGATAATTTTAAAGATCTATTTTATATTAATATTGTTAGCCTGTTTTTTCCCTAATGTGTTCTGTTTTCTTCCTTTCTTGTTGTTAATATTAACCGTTAAGTGGCTGACCCCAATTAACCTCTTTACATAGAATAAAAAAGCAAACTGAAGCAAGAACATTTTGCGTTTCTGTCACCTGCAATAGCTTGCCTTTTTCCTTTAAATAACCAGCCCTTCTTTCTTCCATCATGTTATTACACCTAATGCATTTCAGAGCATTTCCTGATTGCCTTTTATATTTTCTTCCAGCTGTATATCATTTTGTGCCATAGGCTTCTGTGTTTATCCCTCCATCATGTGTTATTCTTCTAAACTGGTTTTTGGCAATACGTCCTTGTTTTCACCATGTAAAACTTCTTTCCCCATCCTTCCCACCTCCAGATCACTAAAGAGCTCCTGCTGGAGTTACTGTCTTACTATATGGAACAGTTCTTCTCTGTAATGAGGTAGGTTGTCAGATTTTGCTTCATCTCTATAACCAGCTGCTCTCCTGCACTATGGAAAAGGTACAGAATCTATTATTAAAATAGGAAAGATTGCATGAACTATAAGTCAGTAACTCCCCAAACAGCATCAGAAAATTATTTAATATGAACATTCATACTTGTATATAAAGTCTAGCAGGATATGATACACTAGACACATAACAGTATAGCTTTTATAAAATAAAGTAGTACCTTTACCATGAATAAAAACAAATGGAAGTAGCCCTGTTCATAGCTCAAGCCTTACAATGTATATACTCCAACATAAAGAGATAAGAACTTGATAAAAGATGAGAAAGGTACACATTAAAAATAGGCTCTGAATGTCATCTTTCACAAAGATTGTGAGACAGAGCACTGAGTCATGTGGTCCTGTGGGGCAATTTTATTTGCATTTTCCCCATGAGAATCTTTGAAATCTCAGCTGGTTGTGTCTGAACAAGCAGATCAAAGGATCTTCACTGGTGAGCCAAAGCCTCTTTTATTTGAAGTTCATATGGAAGTATTGCAACCCAAGAGCAAACTGGTTTGAAAAAGAAGCAATAGAGACTTTTTCAATACAAATTGCATGATTCAAATAAAGCATATAACCAAAATAAGAAGTCTCTTAGGTCTTGATGGAGAGAAAAACAGGTTTTAAGTGAACAAAACCCAAATCTTGGCTACCAGTTAAAGGAAGGTAAAGCAGATTTTGCTTCCAGATCAGAAAAGGTACACTAAATCATATGCGTTCTCATTTGTAAACGCCAATATTAGACTTGATCAGAAAAATTGTCTTTTAATGCCCAATGCTAGAGGGTGTCAAGGGAAAATGTGTAGAAAGATTAGATGACTGATGTTTGTTTAGTGCAAAATAAAGAATCACATGAATTTGGCCTATTTAACTCTGTTCACACCCCATGTGCATCAGTTCTCAGTTTTGAGTTCATTAAGTAACTTCTAACTCATGTTGTTAATACAGATGACTTCCCATAATGCCATAGGCCCTTTATGGCACAGCACAATGTCTTATATGGGAGCAGCATTGTTGATACCAATAGTCCTGAAGCAAAAAATACCAAAATATGCCTATATTTGTAAGATGGACCATTTCCTCCTAAACAAGGATGCAGTCATTGAAGTGGCTAAAGGACTGAAGACATAATCAAGCATTGGCAGTTTTATTTGATTGCTTTCATTT